CTATACAGGATCTCTGTGAGATGGAACCAACTTGACAGCACTTAACAACAACAGTGCCTTTGTATGTTCTGGATATTAAACCCTTATCAGATATATGATTGCCAAACTTTTTCCTATTCTGTAGCTTGTCTTTTCACTTTACGTCTTTTGATGCACAAAAGTTGTTTTTATTTTGATGAAGTCCAATTTATCCATATTTCTAGTTTAGCTTTTTTATTACTCATGCTTTTGGTGACATCACTAAGAATTTGCTGCCGAATACAAGGTCTTGAAGATTTACCCCTATTTTTTCAAAGAGTTCTATGGTTTTAGCTCTTATACTTTGGTCATCGATCTCCTTTTGAGTTAATTTTGGTATATGGTATGAAGTAGGGCCCACCTCCATTCTTTTGCATGTGGGAACCCTTTTGTTGAAGAGACGATTCTTTTTCCATTAAGTAATGGATTTGGCACTCTCAGAAATCAGATGGCCATGGATGGATGAGTTTATTTCTAGTCTTTGAATTTGATTTCATTTGTCTACACAAGTATATCTATCCTTCAGCCAGTAAGTACCAAACCATTTTGATTACTATAATTTTGTAGTAAGTTTTGAAATCAGAAAATAAGAGAATCCTCCAACTTTGCTCTACAAGTTGCAATTTTGAGCAGTTGGCATTTGAATAAAGACTAGAAGGAAATGAGAAAGCATTTCTGTGCCATAACTCTCCAATTACAGTGTGATTTTTCCTAACATCCTACAGCTGCAGCTTTTCTCCAGAGGTCTTCCTAGAGATGACATGATAGACCATGTGCCGCAGCACACACTTGCCTAGTCCCCAACCAGAGCCCTAAAGGCAGTGGAGAACCATGCTGGAGTTGCTGGACAAAAGACAAAGAGGCATGGGGATCCCCGATGAGGCCTTCCTGTATTGCACCTTAATTTTTCACATATCTCTGATGCTTTTATATTAAAAAGTAATTTCATGTACACTATTTTAAGCACCATTCAGGCTGCTTGTTATCTTTGGGTGATCTTTCCTTTAATCTTCTCTTTCAATATGCTCTTCAGTTTCATTAATCTCGATTCACAAATATAAAAACATTGGCTTTGCCTTTTCCTGAAGATGCCACAGACCCTGCTGTCATACCCAAGACAGCCCAAAAATTCATTCTAAATGTCAACACTGTTTTCATTTAGTTCTCAGCATAGCGATTATAAGTTAGGGATGCCGTCTCTTCCCTCCTCCACAGCGGTCTACATCAGACAGGTATATACAAGGAAGGGGCCACTCACTCTACACGGTAAACTACTTACTCATAACTATGATTTAGTAGGGGAAATTTTGGATGAATTCTGAATTCTGCTTCAATACATATTTATTATGCATCTAATAATGGACCAAGCTGTAGTGCACTGATAACACAATGACGATCGATTACATTTTTGCTTTCAAGTCCCTCACAATGCATGGGAATTGATAAATACAACTCAGGACAACAATAAACATATTATCAAAGTGCATGGGAGTACAGAGGAAAGATTGTTGGGGAAGAAAGGGAGTCCAGGAGGCTGTCACAAAGAGCCATTTGAACTGAATTCTGAACCCATGCATCTTGTCTAGGAAAACTAGCAATTACACCATGAAAGCACTTGAAAAAAATTGCAAAAACTCTGTAGATATGAGAGGTATTGCTTTTCTCCAAGGCTAATAGACCAGAAATTGGGGTTCTGTGTGATTCTGGAGGATAAACACTAGACTGCTAACCACAAAGTCAGCGGTTCAAACCTACCAGCCATTCCTCAGAAACCCTACCCATGCTTGGTTTGCTTAAATTTATACTCTAATTCAAAGAGTAAGAGAAAGAGCCACAGAGTGATCCCTACCTTGAGGCAGAGAGGGTGGTTCAGCTAGGGACATCATCACAGTTAGTGGGACCCAGGGCAATAACTCAGGGTGTCATCCCTCCATGGACCTCCTCCCATACCAGACCCTATAGAATCTTTAGTAATGTTGATTGTCAATTTCAACCACAGACTAACTTGTGATATGTGTAGTTGTAAACTGCTTAAATGTAATATTTCTCAGATTACATGAACACTAACAAGAAAAGGAGCTCTGGTAGCGTAGTGGTTACAAATCTGGCTGTGAACCACAAGGTCAGCAGTTCGAAACCACCAGCTGTTCTGCAGGAGAAAGATGAGGCTTTCTGCTCCCGTAAAGATTTACAGCCTCAGAAACTCTGTACAGGATCATTGTGAGTCAGAACCAACTCCACGGCACATAACAACAACAAGAAAATTATTTTGTAACTTTATTCTACATTGAATTACAGTATTAGTAACTGAACAGAAGTCTTTTTTTATTTTTCTCTTTCTTTTCCCTTAATTATTACTTCATTCTCAAAAAAAGTTATTGGTATAAGTTCACAAATACTACTTACCACAATATTGTAACTAACCAACAAAAACAAACTCATTGCCATGAAGTTAAATCTTGACTCCTAGCAACCTTATAGGACCTTAGCAGAACATCCATAGGGTTTCCAAGCTTGTACATCTTTACATAATAGACTGCCACATTGTTCTCCTGTGAATTAGTTAGTGGATCCGAACCTCTGACTTTCAGTTAGCAGCCTGGTGCTACCAGGGCTCCTCATTGTCACTGAAACACCAGAAAACGTGACAAAATCAGTCACTATAAAAACACCAGCAGCTAGGAAAACAATAGCATGTGTAGATGAAACAAAGTGATTTGAAGTCTCATTTTAATTAAGTAATAGTAAGAGTTTTGATCAGGCTCATGTGTTGTTGTTGTGTATGGTCCAGTCGGATCCCACTCATAGTGACCCTGTATAGGGTTTCTAGGAGCTCTGGTAGCGTAGTGGTTACGAATCGTGCTGCGAACTGCAGGTGAGGAGTTTGAAACTACCAGCTGTTCCGCGAGAGAAAGATGAGGCTTTCTGCTCCCGTAAAGATTACAGCCTCGGAAACCCTATACAGGGTCGCTATGAGTCGGAACCGACTCCACGGCACATAACAACAACATAGGGTTTCTGAGGAACAGCTCAAGGGTTTGAATCGCTGACCATGCAGTTAGCGGTCCAATACTTACCTTACAGCACCGCCAGAACTCTTTGTCACTGTTCAGTGCTATTGAGTCAGCAACCATTTCTTTAACAACAGAATGAAACACTACCGGATCCTGCACCATCTCATTGCAGGGTCTGTGGGGTCTTCCTCTCTTTTTTGCTGACCTTCCATTTTACCAAGCATGATGTCCTTCTCCAGGGAGGTCCCTACTGTTAACATGTCCTAAGGATGAGCAATAAAGTCTCACCCTCCTAGCTTCTAAGGAGCATTCTGGCTGTACTTCTTCCAACACAGATTTATTTATGAGTCTGAACCAAATCAAAGGCACTCAACAACAGCTGGCACTCCACGATACTTCTAATATTCTCCTCCAACACCTTAATTCAAATAAATCAATTCTTCTAAAGTGTTCCTTATTCATTGTCCAACTTTCACTTGCATATGTTGTTGTTGTCAGGTGCCATCGAGTCGGAACGAAACAATGTCCGATCCTGGGCCAAGCTCACTACCGCTGCCACACTTGACGCCATCAATGATGTCACCTGGCTGATCCATCTCGTTGGAGGTCTTCCTCTTTTTCTCTGACCCTCCATCTTACCCAGCATGACATCCTTCTCCAGCGACTGTTCTCTCCGGACAATGTGTCCAAAGTATGAGAGACGAAGCCTAGCCATTTTGGCCTCCAAGGAGCACTCTGGTTGCACTTCTTCCAAAACAGATCTATTGGTTCTTTTGGCAGTCCATGGCACTTTTAGTATTCTCCTCCAAACACCACAACTCAAAGGCATCAATTCTTCTACTATCTTCTTACATATGAGGCCATTATAAATACCATCACTGAGTCAAGGGCACCTGCACCTTAGTCCTCAAACTGCTCTTGAATACTTTGAAGAGGTCTTTTAAATGTACATAAAGTTTTAGCCTTATAGGTATGTTGTTGATAAGTACTAACGAGTCAATTTCGACATATAGCGACACTGTATAGGATTTTCAAGGAGGGTTTATCCTACAGCGCCACACCAGGAGCGCTTAAAATAATAATAATAACCTTGCCTTTAGTGGGCTATATACATGCAACCAAGGAGCTCTGGTAGCATGTTGTTGTTATGTGCCGTGGAGTCGGTTCCGACTCAGCGACCCTGTACAGGGTTTCCGAGGCTGTAAATCTTTATGGGAGCAGAAAGCCTCATCTTTCTCCCGCAGAACAGCTGGTAGTTTCAAACTGCTGTCCCTGAGGTTCGCAGCCCGATTTGTAACCACTACGCTATCGGAACCGACTCCACGGCACATAACAACAACATACATGCAACCACCATCACCACCACCATACATGCAAATGTTGGTTTGAAAAATGTTTTTGATGTTATAACTAAGTACAGGGTCATTTTTATTTTTAAAAAATAGATTTGATTTGAAATATGGCAGAAAAATTTTATAGACGCTCATTTTGGTGTCAATCCCTGTGACCGCGTCATCTGGTGCTGTCTTCCGCCACGGGGCTCCTCCCATCCTCGCCCCTTCCGTGACGCTACTGGTTCCGAGACGCATACACCCAGTCGCAATTCCCGCCCTCTTCTGTCTCCGCGGGGGAAGCCACGCCACGCTCCTTAGCCCTTCTCCGTCAGGCTGGCACCGCCCCGCGCGCTCCGTCATCCGGCGCAGCAGCATCTTCGATTCCTCCCAGTAGCGATATCCGGGTCTACCTCTCGGAGGACCGCCTCCGCCCTTTTCGCTGTGACGAATCAGCGCCTGCCTGGGAAAGTACTCAAAGTCGAGGAGTTTAAGGAACTATGGGACCTTTAAAAAATTCCAATTTATACTAAACACCACCGAGCCCTCGAAGGAAGTTGTATTTCTCTAAAGAAAAGTGAGTGGCGCCGATAAATAAATTAAGAAGTAGTGTCGAAAGTGCGAGTACGGACGCTTGGGGCGCGAGGGGCGGGGCGTGTGTGGGACAAAGGGAAGCGAAGCTGGAGTTGCGGGCGCTCTATTTGCCCGCGGGTGAGTGTTTTGGATGGGCCCTACCGAGTTGGGAGGGTAGCAAGTGGTGTTGTCCCTGCTTGACTGGACCCCGAGTTCCTGGTGGTTACTGGGGTTTAGGTTTGGCAGCGGAATCAGATCTGAGAACCGGTTGCCGACCTCTTTGAGGCCTATCGGTGTGCGGATTGGCAGTCCCATCTGGTCTCTCCACAGCCTGAAGATGTGCCCCATTCAGTAACCCTCCAGAATTGATCAAAGCACCTATGCATACCCCTTTCAGTTTAGTGCATTCTCCCCGACAAAGGAAAGACCTCACAGGAATTCCTCGGGGCGAGCCATGTCCCTGGCCCTCACCCCCCCCCCCCCCGAATGTGCGTCCCTTCGGTCCTTGCTGTGACGTGGTAATTCACCGTGTGGCTTTGAGAGAAGAGCGTGTGCTCTGCAACAGCTTGGCCTGAGTTAAAACTCATCTCTAGTACTCATTGGCTGTGTGGCTTTTGACCAGTTAACTCAACTCCCCGAAACTTTTTTCCCCCCCAATCTGTGAAATAGCAATAGCATTGCATATCTTGTAGTTGTCACTTTAGGGAATGGAGCTAGTGGTGGACAAATGTACAAGGCTTAGAATTTATCATTGTAGCAGGGGATCGATAATCACTAAGTATTTAACAATAAAGTGATGTGCAGGGAGCTGGCGGCAGTTGTCCACAGGGTTTGCCACAGCAAAACCTACTGCATATTGACATGCTCCTGAGGGTGAGCAGGAAGGAAACTGGGGACCAGAGTCCATGGTTTCTGCCTGCTTAAGGAAAGAGAGCATGCCAGGATGGACCCTGGATTCAATAATCCATTTGTATCCACACCAGGCCTCTTATTTCCTGTACTCTAGTGATTTCTTCCAGAATGCAAAAGAGCTCTTTAGAAGTCATGTTTGTTTCACTTAATGTTTGGATGAAAAATGCACCAGTAGATATAAAAATGTGTCCTTTTTTCCCCCTAAAAATTAATTTTTTGTCTCTTTGTACGCCACTATTTGTCATTTATTTGGATGTAAGGAACCAGCTCACATAATATGGTAAAGTTGTGAGCTGGTAATAGGAGGACAAAGTTTATTAAGAACTGGGCTAGATACTGGGATACAGTAGTAAATTTAATGATCCCTGTTCCCAAGCAGCACACAATCTAATTATAGGTGTGTGAAAAAAAAATAAGATACAATAAACAATAGTGTGGTGCTAGAGGATGGCCACTGGACTGCTAACCACAAGGTCGGCAGTTCAAACCTACCAACCGCTCCTCAGAAGCTCTACACATGGTCGCTATGAGTCGGAACGGACTCGACTATACTTCACACCATAAATTTGTGAAATGAGCTAGGAATATATAGATGAAAGCATAATAATACTGCCCCGTAACTTCAAGAAAGTTCTATTGAGGAAATTTTTTAATGGACTCTGAAGGATGAAGAAGAGTTTCTCAGGTAGATTGTCAAAATGTATTCCCAGCAGTTATGAAGCTATTTACCACTATATGAATGTTAGAGTTCATTATCATACCAATTACCTTTTGTACGGCCTCCAGGAATAAAAGCTGTGCTATTTGAATAGATGTTGGAACCATAGAAGCAGAGATAGAGCTGGCAATGAGGATTCTGTCAGCATCTGGTAGATTGTTGGGGTAGGCCCAGATAATACATCACATTATATTGTCATCTTTTTATCAGTCTAAGTGTTTACATGGCATCGGCAAAATGGCCATACAAAAAGTGGTTCAGTGTGTCCAAAAAAAATCTCCCCAAAAACCCAGAAACTATATAACTTAATATTCCCAGTGATTTTCTTACAACTCTGTGATCAGCCAAATGGTCTACAGTAAGTAGTGAAAATAATAATATAAAAGGCTTGATTACTTGAAGATATGTGAGTTCATTCTACTTAGAAATACCAGTTAAATTACCCTATTCTTAGGAAACCATTCTCTAATGCGTGCTGAGTTTTGATTCTCTTTTTCTTTTTCCTTTTTGTTTGTTTGTTGTTTTTTGTTTTGTTTTATTTTAGTGTCTCAGATTCATTCTTAAGGAACTGAGAACTTAAATCTTCCAAAATGTCAAGTAAGTTTCACTTTTTATATTTATCAATCTATGTTAATAAGAGGCTAATGCCCTAGCAAATGGGAATTCCAAAATACTCTCATTTTTTTTTTCTTCAAAACAGGACCATTGGTAGTTTTGTTGCATAGTATTATATCTCAGTTGTTTACAAGAAGTTATTTATTTTCTTTCAAACAGAAAGACCATCTTATGCCCCACCTCCCACCCCAGCTCCTGCAACAGTAAGTTTTCATTTTCTTGTTAATGTAATAGCCAAGTCTGGCCTTGATACAAAAACCCAGATGTCTTCCAGCGACAGTCACTCAATCAACACACAGTCTGAAAAAGTCAACTAAAAAACAGCACTTCCTACTAAATAAAATAATGCTTTGCATCTTGAACCAACCCCAACATTGAAAGAAACATACTGCTGAAATGCTGACCCCCCCCCCATGCGCAGTTTTTTCTTCTTCTTTTAAATGGGAAATAAGTGACAATTTGAACACTTCTCTCCTATAATCTTTGTCATGAAGAGTCTTTCAAGTTGTTATTGAGTGAATGCTCATCCTGGCTTTTTTCTTTTCTTTTAAATGAACCTAACCTTCAACTGGTTACAATTTTTTCTCCTTTTTTGCCTAGATAATCATTTTCATGTTAAGCAATAAAGCTAGTTCTGTAACAACACTCATGGCAGATCTTTATTTTTCAAGCTGTTCAAGTAAGGATTTTATTATCTGTGGGTCAGATCCTGCTATTGAGTTTTACTCTACTCTGTAATACTTTTTCTTAGTTTGGGAATTGATATATTTTAAATTGTCTGAATAATAGTTGTGAACTTGTTTTTCTCACCAAGCAAGTTTTGGCCCACCTTGGTCAGCATGTAAAATAATTACCCAATCCACAAAACATAAACAGTAACTGTTTAGACCTGCTGAAATGGATTCCTTTAATTTTTTTGTTGTTGTTGTTTTTCAAACAAACACTTAACATTGGCCATATGTTACAAAACCAGTTTGTTTGTTTTTTTAACAACTGTTAGCGTCCCTCCACATCCCCTATCACCTAAATTTCAGGCGAGTCTACTTTTGACTGCTACTTAGGTCCTTGTGTAGTTTTATTTTCTTCCCTTGGTAACAGCTCTTATTTACTAACCCTCAGATGTATCTGTTAGTTATGTTTATCAGCAACTTGTTTTTCCTAATAAGATGCTTTTTTAAAGAGATACTATATCACATGTTCTCTGTCCATTTTATATTATATACAGTCTCTAAAGTTTCTTCGAGTAAATTTTAGAAGGCCGGTGGTTGGTTTGTTTTCTTTCTTAAGTCAAAGAACATTTATGATCATCTCCATGACACTCTGCTAGTGGCTCTCCAGATGGAGTTGAACGGTTGAGCTTCTTGACCTCAGAGAGCTAACCTTGTATTTCAGTTTTGGAAATGGTATAATTGTAGTATTTTAGTTTCCCCTTTTTTTGTTGTTGAACAGTGATTCTTATTATTTAAACAACCTTTGAAGGTATCATTTTGATGTAAATACTGCTTCTTTGTCAATGTATGCTATCTTGAGGACATACTTGACTTTCTGAGATTAAAATAACTCAAAAACCAAGTGTCCCCCTAAGACTTCTTGGATTTTTTCACCTTACTTTAGTCATACTTCTTTACCATTATAATTTCACATTGACACACAAAATACAGAAGACTAGGGATGAGAACATCCAACAGAATGAATATTAAATACATTATTCTCCTTCCCTTTTTTTCCCCATTACTTCTACCACCACCACCATCACCACCACCTTCACCACTCAAATGTACTACTCCAAGAAATATATACTACTTTTGTGCCTTTGATACTTCATCTGTGTTTTGCGTACTTAAATTTGCTTAATTTGCGTCTTCCATAACTGTATAGAGTAGAAATTGATCAGTAGTTCTCTTTCCTCCTGAAGAGTATCGAATGTAATACCTGCTTGACTGCCTGCCTTTCGGACACTAAGGATATGTGCAATAGCATGTTTTAGAAAGTTGTGTTTATTTTGTAACCACTACAGCCTAGCTGGGATGTGTCATTATCACGTACAATTCAGTACTGCTATTGTTAATTGCATGTTAAAATGAAATTACTGTCACTTGCTTTGATTGCGTTTCTTTAGGTAAAATACCCTACTTTTGGTCTTTCTTTGCTACATTGTTTCTATGCATTGTGCCTTGATTCTCATGAACATTGGATGTCATTGTATTAACCATGAGGGCACTGCTATACGAGAGCCCATTTGTGTTCACATCAGTACTTAATTCACAAAAAACAAGAACTCTGTTGCTGCAGTGAGGAGTTGTGTTTTGAAAGGCTATCAGGAAACTAGATGGAAAAGGAAAGTTCAAGTCTGTCAACTCAAGAAATAGTTCACATTTCAGATTAAAATCCAGAAAATGTTCATGATTGACCTGTGGAAGATGGATCAAAGAAGACATGGAAGACAAAAGCCTATAAAATAATGATGGGTTAAAAAGATCAGACAGTACCCCAGAATGAAATCCATGCATTTCTTACACATCTTTGTTTGGAAATCATGTGACATTCATTGAATCCAACGTATGTTCTTTTCTATTGGCAACGTCTGGCTTCCTGATTTGAGTCTCTTCTCATTTCTCATATTATATAAAATGATATAAAACTGTCTTAAAAACAGATCCATTTCTTGTTTTTTATTTGTTTTTAGTAGGTGAATACGTTGGTGGCATCTACATACATAACTGTCAAATAAATCATGTTGTTTTGCATGTAAAGTGTTTCAGACTTCTAGTTTATTACATTTCAAGCCTTCCTATCTCAGCGGTCATATATTGCTGAACCCTTTGTGTCATGCTATATGAATCATAAAGTAATCCTGAATGTTTGAGACACTTCATTGCAGTGATTATTATCCCCAAATGCAAGTCACATACATACACGTTCACACAAACACTCCTATAGTCAGGTTTCCCAACGAAAGAAAATTGTAATTGTTTCCAGTGGAAGAAAAAGACCGATTACAACACTTCATTGCTTGTTTAAGTTCAGGTTGCTTTTGCATGCCATATGCAGATCATTTTTCATTTCTGTGTTTTCCTCGTTTGAGCTCATTTCTCATTCGTGTTTTTGTCTCATTTGTTTCCATCAGCAAATGCCCAGCACACCAGGGTTTGTGGGATACAATCCATACAGTCATCTCGCCTACAACAACTACAGGCTGGGAGGGAACCCGGGCACCAACAGCCGGGTCACGGTAGGAGAATCAACTATTACGGCATCCGGCAAAACAACTGGAATTGGCTAGAAATGGCTTCAAAGTTAGGTTGTTTGGAATCATGTACACAGCCATTAAATTTTAATCTGGCTTCTCAGCTATTTTAAAATTTGTTGTGTAATCTTACATGGAAAAGAAAATATGTGTGACCTGGATACATATGTAGAACAAAAGAAAATCCGTTCTGTTTGGTGGTCATTAGAAATAAAGTCTTGGGCACATAATACTTATTCTGTGTGTAGACAAAGCTAGAATTTCCTTTTTTAATACCCCTTTGACATTAAAAGTATCTTGTGTACCTAAGGTAATTGACACTAAGTTAAAGAGTTCGATTCCTTACTATACGCTGAGTTTACAGAGCTGGCTCTTTCAGGGCTCGAGAGCTTTTGTCTGGCCTACCAGATACTTCAATGTAAACTGCTACACATAATTATTTATTGTTTGGTTTTATTAGTTGATCTTTTGAAATTAATTTCTACTGAAAAATAAAAAGATTTTTGTTAACATTTTAGACTGAAATCCATTTGAAATACTGGAGTAGATATGTACAAGTAGAAGTACATTTCTAATCCATGGGATAAGGTATAGAATTCTAAAACTTCATGCATGTCAACCTAAGGTATCAAAATTGAATGAAACACTTCCAAACATTTTATTTTAGAAATACCTTAAACTTCATTCAAGGAAGTTTAGATATCAAAGAAACAAGAGCTTTGCTTATAAATGTAAAAAAAAAAAAAATTAAGGATTTACCAAAAGTAAATAGATCAAAATAATTCCCAAAGCAAAATACCTACATGCATTGGGACAAGGTACTAGTGAGAATGTATACAACCCACAATGGCTGTAAACGTTTTAATATCTGGTTCCTATTTGCTGTATTCATGGATAAGCAGTGCCTTTAGTAGATGTAACTTCAGAACAGCCCTCTCACCCTGTAGTCATACTACTGCAGAAAGTGTGTAACTATCAAACTCTCTGTCTATCTTGGTAAGCATATTGCTTAGCTTGATAGGTTTTGTTTGTCTAAATTGTTCATTGTTTCTGCATAATTTGTACTTCATAAGCATATCAAGTTTTATGTGCCATGCATATTTCATGGTATTGTAAAAGAATTCTGACAGCATATGTATGCATGCATTTCAGAATGCATACAATTTTTACGTACATGTTCTTCCCTGGCCTAAATGTGTTTGTTTCATAAGTGTAATGGGTGGCAAGGTTATCAAGTGATACCAAACATTTTAATTTAAACAAGGAGCAGAATCTGTACTGGATCATTATGTTAATGCTAAAAATTATTCATGGACAGTAAACAAAAGAATGATGAAATTGAATAGCTCTATACAGTCAGCTCGTGATTATCTATGTTAGTAGATGGGAAATGGTGGCTTTATAGCCTTGGCTATATCCGGGGCATTTCTGTTGATAAAGGAAAAGGGACATGCACCGCTATCTTGGTCTTGTACTATTCCGTTTTCTCTCGGTTTCTTCTTGGAGACTCTAGAGCCCAGCATCTTGAATGGGCACTAGCTTCTCAGTAGACGAGGAAGGTGTTGGGAGTAGAAATGTTGGTGTTCTGGCTCTTTGTAGGTTTCTTTGTGTCATTATTCTCTCAACACCACAAGTAAGTATAATCAGACTGCTATTTAAGCTTAGAAGATGTAGGGCCTAAAAATATGGAGCTTTTTAGCCCATGTTAATTGTAGCTCTTTAAGTTTTACAGTATATTTCAGTGCCCTCCCTCCTACCTAGGTCATTGGATCCGTCTCTTAAAAAACATAGTTAGTCTATCTTTGGTGTGGGGAGTACAGTGACTTCATAGGATAATCGCTGGACTGCAAACCACGAGGTCAGCGAGCAGGTCAAGCCCATCAGCAGCTCTGCAGAAGAAAAATGAGGGTTTCTCCTCCTGCTAAGGCTTTTTTTAAAGCTTCGGAAACCCTAAACAGGATTGCTATGAATCAAAACCAACTTGATGGTACTTAACAACCACCTCCTTTGGTGTTGCACTGTAGGATAAGGATAAGACTGCTAACCACAAGGTTGTCGGTTCAAACCCACCAGCTGGTCCTGAGAAGCTGTATACCGGGTCACTATGAGTTGAAACCGACTCAAAGGCACTTACCAACAACAACATAGCACCCTTTTTATGTATTGAATTTGGAGGACAAAATAGTTGTTCCAGCTCATAGTGACCCTGTGTATAACAGGACTCCATTTTTAGATCTAATTTTAACTACTATAAAGGTATTTTAAGGTGACTCCTATTATGCACTGCTGTTGATTTTATTTTGGCTTGGGTTTTCCTTCAGTTTGGTATTGTCAGTAAATCTTGCAGGGATCATTCTGTGGAAACCCTGTGAAGTAGTTTTCTGTTGGTTGCACAGAATATTGGATTTCTCTGATGGCTCTAATACAGTTGGATAGTTTTTAGACACAAAACACTTTATGAAGCATGTGGAAACCTTTTGGAACTGTGAGTTGAAATTCAGTTCTAATCAGTTTTTCATCCAAGCTGATGATTTTTCTCTTTAGTACAAGATGTGAAAACAGATTGAGACAAAAATCTGTCTCAAAAAAAGAAGCAAGTTTTTCTACACTTGAGTGACAATTCATCTTGAGGGGAAAATTTTTTTTTTTAAGCTGAGAATTAGAAAGAGAACAAAAAAATGCAAAGGCAAGATAAACTTCACAAAATCTGTGGACTTTGTTCATAATAGATTCCTAGAACCTTGCCCTTATGTAAGTATAGTTTAGACAAGTATAATCATTTGTTTTCCCCACTTCATACAAATTGGAAGCAGAAAAGTGGAAAGAGTGAAGTTGCTGTTCGGGCCTGGTTTCCTGATGGCATTCACACTGAGAAGGAAAAGAATAAGGACCGCTAAGAAAGGAAGGAGCTCTGGTAGCGTAGTGGTTACGAATCAGGCTGTGAACCTTAAGGTCAGCGGTTCGAAACTACCAGCCGCTCCGCGGGAGAAAGATGAGGCTTTCTACTCCCGTAAAGATTTACACCCTCGGAAACCCTGTACAGGGTCACTATGGGTTGGAACCGACTCGATGGCACTTAACGACAACAAGAAAGGAAATGTGCACCTAAAGTCAAGGAACCCTGAGCCAGTCAGAAAAGGGCTAACAGTGTTCCACACCTCAAACCTGGGAATCACAGCACTTTTTAGAAATACAGGGTAGGTAAATGTATATGTACATTGTAGAAAGATGGCTGAGAAGATAAACAAATCTGTTTTTAATTACCTGAACCTTGAGTATACCAAAAACCAGCTGGGATTTGTTGATACTGTTTGGGGTTTTTGATGTTGTTTGTTGTCTTTTTATTACATGGCTGAGAGATATTGTAAAGCCATGAGCTCAGTATGTAGATGATTTGTGTCCCTTCCTTGGGGAGAAAAGAGGAGGAAATAAATCTACTACTGTTAAAATATGCACTTCTCAGAAAAATATCTCAGCAAGTATTACTTTGGGTTTTAAAGTAGTCTAACTCATACGAAATGAAAACAGACTTTCAAAATTCCTGACGATGACACTTACAACACCAACTTAAAAAAAAAAAATTAACAGTGATCTAACATCTTCAGCTATTGACATAACTCTGCATTTACTTGTAAACCCCCATCATGAAATCCTGAAGTTTTATGCCAATTATAAGTTGCTGGGTTTTTTGTGTTTAGTCCTTGACAGAAAGTTGGCTTCAAGAGAATTTCCCTGCCCTTTGAAAGAACTCTGAGAGATTTGGATACAGATCTCTCCTTACTGTCTCCTCTTACCATCATTGGTGATAGTTTCCTTCCATGTGGTACACTAAACACAGGGTCTGTCTTCAGTGGTACCACAATGAGATATGCTAAGAGTACATGAGAGAACTGAGGGAGAGGAAATGGTGCTTCAAAGTTGGAATGCTTTTTGAGAACTTCATGTATGAAGACGCAAAGTTGTTGAAAGGGAATGGGGAAGATGGGAAACCTAGTAGGAAGAGACAGCATCACTTGACCACGTGGAAAGGGGCACAAACAACCCTTGGATGAAAATGAGATCATACTTGAGGTCCCAGCCCAGAATGGAGGAGTGCAATGGGGTTTTGCCACATCACAATAGAAGGGCAAGAGAACAAAGTGCCACTTTGGTTTTCTTAATGGTTTGCCAATCTCTCTGTTGATGGAGTGAAGTCAGCACTGCTTCTCCCCAGTCTGGCAGATAGAATCAATACCAGGGAGCTCCTGAAAATTTGAGGGAAATTAATGTGATTCAGTCATGATTTTTCATATTCTGCGTCTTTAATCAAATGCAGTTCATGTATTTTAAAGTGACCCCTGTTATGCACTGCTATTGGTTTTGTTTGGGTTGGGTGTACTTCCTTTTGTTTGGTATCGTCTGTAAATCTTGCACGGATGATTCCGTGAAACCAGAAAGTAGCTTTCTGTCGGTTGGACAGAATATTGGGTTTCTCTGATGACTGTGTTAAGGGGAGACTGAGACATTCAGAAGTAGATACTCTTGACTTGGAGTTATGAGTACCTGCCAGAAACTGCCTGGGAATCCCCTTGTCTAGATATTAACCTGTAGAAATTAAACACTCTCTCATCTTTGTCTTCTTCCTCTTTTGTTTTCTCGTATACTTTTTTTCTTTACTCTTTTAAAGAAGTGTCTCTTAGTGTCACCTCTCCTTCCTTTTCTTCTTTCTGTCTCCCTTTTCCTGCACATATCCCATTTTTAGTTCTTCTCCTATATTCTTCACAATACCAAAAAAATTATTGGAATTGGGCTTTTTAAGACCTAAACAGTCTTAATCAGGCCCCATATCTGTCAGTTCTGTATTCCTGGTAACCTTGTTTACTTCCGCACTGCAATTGGGTCTTAAGACAAAACTAAAAGTTCCTAACTTCCTGGTCCCCTTTATAAGAAAACCACTAGATATGGACAGAAAGTTGAAAAGAAATGAAACCTCTCGTCTTGGCAAAGGATTGAATTAGTTTGGTTTTATTTTTGAACCTAGGAGGTAGGTTAGTGTTGTTTGTGTATGGACACGTTGCTAGAGTCTGATGTAAGGATCCAGAACGCCCTGTAGACAGCATGAGTGTGGTGGATGCTGTCAGGCAGTTCCAAGTCCTAGCGACCCCGCTTACAGCAGGCTGAGCACTGCCCGCTCCTGCACCAGCCTCCCCACTGTTGCTGCCTGAGCCCACTGTCATACAGATAATCAAGTGTTGACTGTATGTGTGGTAGTAAATTCAGTCCAAACAAAGGGTTTCAGGAAATGTTCTAAATGTGAGACATTTGATGTATAACCATATATTTTCAATGTATGGATTATTATGTAATGTTTTATTTGTTCTTACAGCCAGGTTGTCAAAGCAGTGGCAATAAACTGCTGCATAAAACATTTAAAAATTATGTGCTTACAGTCATTTTCTTTTGATGTGAACATTTCTAAATTTTCATTGATAGCTATTTTCAGTGGAGGAAATATAAGAATCTTATATCCATGGACGAGTAGAAGAAAGGCGCATTAGAGATTTTTAAGGAACTCTCTTTTCATTTGGCTGATGAATTGTTGCAATTCAATAATGACTGTATTTAACTCTTTTGTAGGCATCCTCTGGTATTACGATTCCAAAACCCCCAAAGCCACCAGATAAGCCGCTGATGCCCTACATGAGGTACAGCAGAAAGGTAGGCAACTGGTACCCAGAAAGCAGTGAAGACTGCTGTGTTTTCAGATTACCTGTGCATCTTCAGAGGAGAAAGGACACAGAATTGCCCAGGCTAGAGAGATCGACTTCAAAATTCCAAATCTAAAATCTACCAGGAAAATTAGTAAATTAATTGTGAAAAAAAGTCCTTAAGACAGAGTATTATATAGCCAATAAAATTAGGTCTTTTGGAGAATTTCCTAGGACTTTGTCACTTTTCTAACTCTTAAAAATGTATAGCCAATTGTTTAAAAGACAGCATTTGGATATTTTTGCCACTATTTAGACTGTTAGATAATTTTGGTCATTAGTATTACATATGTATTTGACAACATGATTCATTTGTAAATATGCCACTGCTAAATTCTTGTGAACATTTAGAGACTCATAGAGAATGTGTTATTGAATTAACTCATATGTCTATAGTGACTGGAGTTGTCTTGACTTATTAAATTGAAGTAGTATGAATAAACACGTTGTCTAAGATCAGTTTCAAAATCATCCTGCATGAGTAGAGATGAAATCAGATTGGCCAGGTATTAGCAATTGTTGAAGCAGGATGTTTCCTGCTTTTATGTTTGATAGTTCCCTTAATAAAGTCCTTGTAACGATCTGTATTTTGAGACATCTGTGTTGAATGTTCTACTTCTCCCTTTTTAAGGTCTGGGACCAGGTTAAGGCTTCCAACCCTGACCTAAAGTTGTGGGAGATTGGCAAGATTATTGGTGGCATGTGGCGAGATCTCACTGATGAAGAAAAACAGGAATATTTAAACGAATACGAAGCAGAGAAGGTAGGCGGGGTGCAGCTGTGGGATGAGCACATGGTAAAGTGCATTAGCATTGCTGGGTTTTCATAAAATGAATGTAAGATTTGACCAGAAAGCTACAACTGGACAGAGGCTTTCTCTGCCTTGGTCACGTCACTTCATTTCAGATTCCTGGTTGGTCAGACAGAGATAATGTTCACAGTGCCATGCTTTCATCAGCGTATTGGATAGTCAAATGAAATGATATAGGTATATGTGATAAGCTATAAAATGTTAATTATAAAAACTGAACAACATTTGAATTTCAGATAGAATACAATGAGTCTATGAAGGCCTATCATAATTCCCCCGCATACCTTGCGTACATAAATGCAAAAAGTCGAGCAGAAGCTGCTTTAGAGGAAGAAAGTCGACAGAGACAGTCTCGCATGGAGAAAGGAGAACCTTACATGAGCATTCAGCCTGCTGAAGATCCCGATGGTAAAAATAAAATAGAAAAAGTGGGATTGCGTTTTATGCTTCCTGGGAAAATTATGAGAAACCTTTTATGTAAATGTGTTTTCATTTCCGTTCCTGAATTGAAAACCAAAAAGAATGTACTTCGAGTAGCATTTGAGTATCTTGATTAGTTATTTTGAGTACGATTTGTTTGTGAATTTTCTCAAGAAAATAATAGTGCTGCAATATGTAAAAAGCATTTATGTTTTTTGCCATTTTCAGCAGTTAAAAAAAAAAAAATCTTGTATTCATCATACTCAGAATGCATGAAAAGATTTTTTTTAAGTCACAGAATTTTGTCTCAGCTTTTTAAAATCACTGTTTTCTTATTGGGTCCCTAAATTGCTGAATTAAAGACTCTTAAGGGAGGAAGTTGGAGTCCTGGTATGGTGTGGTGGGTAAATGCGCCAGACTGCAAAGCCGTTTGAACTGCAAAGTCAGCGGTTCAAGCTCACCAGCTGCTCCTCGGAAACCCTATACGGGGTCACTATGGGTCGGACCCGACTCAATGGCACTTCACAACAACAAGGAGAGGAAGTTAATAAATAGGTAGAAGCATTATGAGACTTTGTTTTCAGTTAATTCAGAAATCCAACTAAAATTTATAAATGTAGCTCAGAACCATTCTTGACAGTTGTTGTTGTTGTTATGTGCCATCGAGTCGTTTCCGACCCATAGCAACCCTGTATAGGGTTTCCAAGGGT